TAATAATAATAATAATAATAAAAGGATATTCATTCATGTAATCTATTATACAATTTTCTTCCTGAAAATAAATTTTACTGACTAAGGCCTAGTTTGCCATAATCATAGGCTGGGTGTGAAATAGAAACTTCCATGAGACTGATTGGACAGTATTGCTAATAAATTAGAGAATGGGTCAAATTGTATCTACAGAGATAACTATAGAAATTCATAGATAATTACTTAGCTCTTAGGTAGTCCAAAGTAGATTACATTCTTAAACTAACCCACAAGTTTTAGGTATGTCAAATCGCTATTTCCAGTTACTTCCTAGCTTAAGTGTGACACAGATTGTGTATATCTGAAGTGTACAACCTAATGGTCTGAATGACCTTCTATTAGGAAGAAAAATAGGCCTTCCTAGTGGCACAAGTAATGCCCAATAAGACACTGTGAAGAATCCTTCAGAGTCTTGATCATAGCCGTGTGGAATCTCTTGGCTCTAAATCTTAATGTAGATATTTTGCAAGGATGTTGAATTTTCCTTTGGTATAACAGATACCTGGAGTGACTCAATATGGACAAGTCTAAAAATAAGGGGCAAAGCATATTATCCTGCAAATTATAGCAGCCTCAAGTCTGATTAGATCTAATATGAGCTGCTGTTTTTTGTTTTTGTATTTATTTTATTATCAGAAAGAAGATATATCTTGGTTTTATCCATTTATCTCTGAATAATGCTGAAATAAAAAGCTTATGAAACAATTAACAAACTCAGAGTAACAAAAACTACCAAATGCTTTAAGAAAAAAAAAAAATCACCGGAGACTTAGTAAATAAATATTTCAACCCTTTTTTTCCTCCAAGCATTTAAATGAGTGTCAACAGTTCTGTTGTGCTGTTATACCTGTAGCTAAGGAAAGACTATAATACTATGTGGAGAGTCAAACCAGAACACTTCTCTGCAAAACTTCTATCATCAATCATCCTAAATCTCAAAGAAGCTGAACTGTGAAAAGTGCAACCAGACCACATTTTCAATTTCTCACAGGAAAAAAGACTGCTTCAGCTATCAGGGGGCAGCATGTTCTCATAACCATGACCATGGCTGCTGCCTTACAAATGATGAAGGAATCATCCAGGAATTTAGGAATCAACCTAAAACCTAAAAAGAACTGATATGAAGCAGCAGTAATTCCTACTTATCCCCATAGAAATTGAAAGTGTACATCAATGCTGATAATTAGTCATTTCATAGGAAAAAAAAATAAACTCTAGAACTGCTATAAAATGGTAAAGTCAATACCTCTGTAAAATGAACTCTGAACCCAGTTTCAATGTGTGGGTGTGTATGTGTGTGATTTTCCTGACACCGCACAAAGCAATGCTCCAATACCAGCTGGTTATCCTACCATTCAACTCAATTCTGACACTATCTACCCAGAGACAGCATCATCAGTTTCCACAATTAAAGGGCTTAGTCCCATCAGACCACTTTCTATCTCAGACACCAGTCACAAGCCCAGGTTGTTACCTGTGCTTCTGACCAACTGGCTATAAATCAGAGATTCCCAAGAACCCCTCCTTGGATTCCATTAATTTGCTAGAAAGGCTCACAGAACTCAGGAAACCTGTTGTACTCACTAGATCGATGGTTTATTGTGAAAGGATATAACTCAGAACAGCCACGTGGAAAAGATGCCTAGGGCAAGGTATGGGGAAAGGGCACGGAGCTTCCATGTGCCACTCTCCCCAAATCTCCATGTGTTCACCAACCAGGAAGCTCTCTGAAACCCATCTTTTGAGGTTTCATGGAAGTTTCATTACATAGGCATGATTAATTAAACCACTGGCCATCGGTGATTGAGTCAACCGCCAACCCCTCTCCCCTCCATGAAAATCAGAGTGTGGAATGGGAAGTTACTACCCTCCCTTCATGGTTGGCTTCTCTGACAACCAGCCTCCACGGGCCTTAGGTGCTTTCCAAAAGTCACCTCATTAACGTAAACCCATTTGTGGTGGATAGGGACTTGTTATGAATTACAAGATAGATGCCCATTTCACATTTATGAAAGTGATTTCAGGAACTGAAGACAAGAGACCAAAAAGTATAACAACAGATGCTTCCATTGCCCTTATTGCTCAGAAAATTTCGAAGATTTTAGGAGCTCTGTGACAGAAACTGGGACAAAGGACAAATATATATCCCTAATTATAAATCTGAATATCACGCTCTGCAATTCTGTAGAAGGCACAACACAAATTGCAAAAGAAGTCCCTAGCCCTAGGAGGTCATGTCATGACAACCCTCCAATACCTACTATGAGATGGCAAAGCATGACAGTCATTTGTTATTGGGTCTCAACCAAACAAATGATCTTCTTGTTTCCATAGCTGGAGGTTGAGAGGAAGAAGGAGTATGGTTATTCTGACCCTCATTATTATTTTCATATAAAAGACTGCTTTTTGCACAATTCCTCCTGGACAGGACACAGTATAATAATAAATACGCATTACAAGTAAAATAAACAGCTCATTTTGAATGGCTATATGCCAGGCACTTTACTAGTCACTTTTATATGACAAATGTAACTCTTAGATTCTGAGTGTGAGAGGTAGGTCTTGTTATCCCCACTTTCCAGTGGAAGGAAAGATGCCTCCATGGTAAATAATTTTCCTGAGATCATCTAACAGATGAGTAGCAGGCTTAAAATTCCAACCTGTCTCACTCTAGAGCCCAGGTTTGAAACCTCTATATTAGTCTTCCTGACTTCAAAGGAAAGCAATAAAAAGTGATCTTATTTGCCTTTGTTAATAAATTGTATATATGTTACCACAATTCAAAAATGATTTGGTAAAATCAGAAGCTAGTCTTTGTTTTAACTATTTGGTCAAAAAAGACTGTAGCTAATACAACCTATTCTTGCCCTCTATTTAATGAAACAACTACTTGGTTACATGAGGTTACCAATTATATTACTTGATAAAATATATATTGGTCTAATTACAATAGTGATTAAAAAAAGAAGTAAAGCAGGACTGAGGGAGTGGAGTAAATAAAGGAAAAAGTAAGTGAAGGAGGAAAAGGGAGGGAGAGATGGAAGGAGAAAGAGGAGAGGAGAAATACAAGGGGAAGGAGAGGAGAAGAAGGAAGAAAGAGAAAGAGAGAGAGAGAGAGAGAGAGAGAGAGAGAGAGAGAGAGAGAGAGAGAGAGAGAGAGAAATGCATTGCTGAATGTCAAGCCTATGTAGATGTTAATAGCCATTCTGAATCCACTTTGTAATTTCCTTCTGTTCTGTGGATTACTTCATTCCACAAGTCAAAACATTTCACTCCACACACCAAGAGTGTTATGAATGGTACTTCTCATGGCAGAGCTGATTAATAGACATACTTAATATTCCTCCAAGAGACTGAATTTTTTTTACCATACTATAAAGGTTTTAAATGTCATTTTTCTCATTTCTGTGTGACTTACATATTTTATAAATCACACTTCACTTCAAATAACCAATGTACTAAAAGCTTGGTGATGAAGGAAAGACACAATTGTTAATAGTTTTGTAAATCTTGACAACTTATATTTAAAAGTGGTTCTCTAGAAATGTTAGTATTATGTCGAGAACTGACTCTAATCTAATGTTATATAAATGAAAAGCTATAGCTTCGTATTTGCTTTCTTTTTAACTTGGATGAAGTTGCAGTCCTGAAATCTTTACAAAGTAGCATTTGTTAATAATATATAAAAGTATGTTACATATCAGTCTCAAAAAAGGCAAATGAAGCTTGTTTTGTATTGATAAGTTGAAGACTATCCACAAAATTTGTATATTCTGTGTGTTGATAAATTCAAAACTGCAGAGAAATCACCAAGTCCACTGTATTGCACTTAGGTGGAATCAAATAGTGTTCGTTTGTCATGGAGTAAATATGTGGCCCCACTTTAAGTCAAGGCGTTTACTCTGAAGCAATGTGTCTTCACTTGAACTAAACATAAATATTCAAGGATAGGAAAGACTGTGTTTCTCTCCTTCAGGAAAATGACCTGTTGGAGAGTGGTGATGTGTCATTTGGCAGTTATCATTTTAAAAATACTTGTGTTCCTTTTTGCATCATACCTCGATCATTCTGGCAGACAGCCTTCAGGATGCGATGTCCCAGGCCACATTTTCCATGATCGGGGATACAAATGCCTTCAGATATGAGCCATCGATAGCACACTGGATCCTCACAGGGCACAGATTCCACCAAATGAGGACAATGCCCCACAGGCCCTGTGGCTTCCATGAGGACATGGCGCTGTCTCATTCTAAAGCCTAAAAAGAGAAAGAACAAACTTTTCACAGGATTCCCTCCTTACCCAGCATAGGAGAAGCAGCAGCAGGAAGGAAAGCGATGAAACCTTCATTTGAAAACCTGTAGCTCTAAAGCATGCATTATTTCGATGTGCTTTATTTTATGGAAAATGGAGGGACAAAGAAAGAAAAGGAAAGGGAAGGGGAGGTAAGGGAAGGGAAGGGAAGAGAAGGGAAGGAGTAAATGGAAAAGAACTAGAGTGGGAAATCTGTCTTCCAAGAGTTTAGAATCTAGGTGTTAGAGAGGTCAGACGTAATCATAAGAAACAATAAGTAGGACATGTCCAACGGTATCAATAAACAAGTAAAAATAAATGAAGACTCACACAAATAGCCCAAACATACATAAATGCACGTTTTGTTTTTGCTGTAGTTTTTGACATTCGTGTTACTCTGCATAATGTCAAAACACATCTACTATGGCACATCCCTGATGCCTGAGCATTTGCAGATTCATGCCCTGGGATTTCCAGGTCCCCTTGCCCTGTGAGGACAGTACCTCTTTGGACCGCCCTCCCATCCTGGCTAGACATGGGTCCCTGGGCTATTACTCAGCTAAAAAAAAAAAGAACTGTGGAGCTAGGGTCCAAAGTCCCACTATAATTAGGATACAAATGGACCCTACATGCTTCGATCCCACAGAGTCACAAAGGCAGTGTCACATGTATGAAGCAGGTACAAATTGATGGAAATGTGTAGACCATAAGATTGTAGGGAGTGGTGGAGTCTGTGGAGAAATGGAGGATGTGTGCTTGCTCTAAAATGGTTGGCTATTCTTCAGCTTCCATTGACTGTTGACATGAGGGAATGTCGGCTCTCCTTTGCCAAATCTTCCAATTTTGTCTAAGAAGACAGAAATCCAGGTGATATTTTGTTTTTTATATGAAATCTCTATTTTCAAATGATAGAAACTAATGAATGTTTTTCAAGAACAAAGCTAAAAATAAAGTGACTGAGAACTAGATAAAATTCTTGTCTGAGTTTTCAATCTCTCATCTTCATGATATATCACTTCTAAAGGCTATGCCTACCTCCCATGGATCTCATATTTTATATTCAATTCCTTAATTCACCAAATTCAATCAACTGATTCAATTGATTTAATTCCTTTTTTTAAAACAAAACCATTTTATTCCATGGTAAAATTTTAAGAAATTATTCATTTATTACTTGGAGCAAATAAAAAAAAAAAAAAGCCTTTGACAGGAAGGTAGCATGAGAACACTGAATTCCAGAATGTGAGTTAGATATACCATCGCCCTTCCAACAAGAGGAGGAGAGAAGTAGTCTCCCCAACAGGACATGAGTCCATCTGGCCCCCTAAGAAATATTTACAACATTATTCATTATATTCCTCAGACTGTCTTTTTCTATCCCTGAGGCCATATTGCAATTACCAATTTGTATTGTCTCATCCCTTCCCCTTCTCCTTCATCCCCACCCCCTCCCAACTAGCAACTCTCAGTTCTTCCTCTGTGTCCCTGAGATGTAGAGGCCTGACTATCGCACTGTATTTCTGAAGCTGATGTTGAATAATATTGTATGTCAACTATAATTATATATACATATATAACCTCGGGACATGGAGTAGAGTGCGGGAATGGATTCAATGGAATTGTAATAGATAAGCATGGTATTGGGGGTGAGAGGGCAATACATGGGGGGAGGGGGGTTGTTACTTTGTGAGGGTGAAAAGGGTAACTATTGCATTGTTCTGTACACCTGAAACTAACAATAAAAAATTAAAAATTAAAAAATAAAAAATAAAAGAGGAGGAGAGAAGGATAAGTTAGGAAGCAGGAGAGGTAACAAAGCCCAGTATACTTCTCCCACATCTTTGCCAGGGTCATGCCTATTTTTCCACCAATAGTAATGAAATGAAAAGGTTACAAAGCTCAAGGTGTAGCTGGCAAAAGCCTAGCTGGCTTCTCTTAAAATAGCACAGCCAAGGATGCTACAACAAGTTGACACATGGTTTTAGGCCACAAGAGGGAGCCAAGCCTCCTTGGAATATTACAGGGGTAGGCAAGTACTTTATTTATTTATTTATTTATTTATTTATTTATTTATTTATTTATTTATTTATTTTTTTATTTTATTTTCAATTACAGTTGACATATTTTGCATTGATTTCAGGTATACAGCATAGTGGTTAGACATTTATATAATTTACAAAGTGATGCCCCTCCCTGATAAGTCTAGTGCCCACCTGGTACCCTACATAGTCGTTACCGTATTATTGACTATATTCCCTGTGCTATACTTTACATCCCCATGACTATTTTAACGGCCATATTGTCCTTCTTAATTCCTTCACCTTTTCCGCCCAGCCCCCCAACCCTTAAACAGTCATAAGTGCTTTATTTGGGTTTTCTTGGTCTAGGGTTAGTTCATTAAAAGAGACTCTTAGACTCTTACTTTAAGGATCAGCCACTTGTGGGAAGGCATCATTTGGCCAATCAGAAACTGCATTTTCACGGCATTAAAAATATTAAGATCGGGTGACTAAAACAATAGGTGACCTCTGCCTGCTTTGTACCTCTAAGTGTGTGTCATTAATTAGACAAAATAAAACCCAGCTCCCTTTCTGGGCCACCTTGAGTAGAGACACCAGAAATATACAAGGCTCTAAACTACACTTAAACATCAAACCATAATGACCTCCGCGCTCTCAGTGCCACACACCTTGGATGACCACTTCTCTTACATGTAATGCCCCTATTTATTGTCTTATATTTGTGCTTATTTAGTTTGTGTCTATGAGCAGGACATGCCATGGGTCTCCAGGATTTACGTTGCTTGTCAACCAGCTCAGAAACTTACCAGTATTTACTGAGGGACCCTGGGTGTCCTACACCTACAGCTTAATGCCACTGAGGAGCACGTACAGTCTTCCTCTGTAAATCAAGCTGTATCCATCTCCCCATATGTAGATTACATCTCCTCAGTCAATAAATTATTTCAGTCATTCATTTGTACTGCCCTTGCCCTGAACTCTAACTAGGATCAAATCATAGCACAAGCTCAGCATAAAACAAAAACCTTGGATTCTCTTGTTAGCATTTAACTTTAATCACACATCGGTGTTCATGATGGCAGCAGACATCAGGCTTCCCCTGGGTACTTCTGTTCTGAAAGATACACACTGCCAAGTCCATGGTGGCTGAGGCCAGGCAACCGCTTACCTTCATTGGCTCAATTTCATATTAATCCGATATCATCATATTGTAAGCATTAACTCCCACATGTAGATCACTATAATGCACTGTGGGAAGCCACAGGGGGAACAGAAAACATAAATCTTGTCTGCATAGAGAATGTAGTCCAATGGGAAAAGGCACATGCATTAATTAAGCATCTATCCTATACCAAGACTGTGACAGCCACTCTACTTATATTACCCCAAAATAATAAATCCTCAAAACTATTTCATTAGTTACTGTTCTCATTTTACATGCATGTAAACTAGAAGGTACTTGATTGCTTCTCCAAAGGCACATTACTGATGAAATGGATACGTATGAAATTCAGTTGAGGTGTTTCTCAGTTGTTTCCTCCTCACGAGAAAGAACGTAAGTCAGTTCTGTGTATGATGTGCTCTAGCCCCACTTCACACAGTGGATCTGACAGGTACCAGGAAGCATCTCCTTAAGCTAAAGGGGTATAGATTAGAGCAGCGGTTCTCAACCTTCCTAATGCCGCGACCCCTTAATACAGTTCCTCATGTTGTGGTGACCCCAACCATAAAATCATTTTTGTTGCTACTCTATAACTGTAATTTTGCTACTGTTATGAATCATAATGTAAATATCTTTTTGTTTTCTGATGGTCTTAGGCGACCCCTGTGAAAGGGTCGTTCGACCCCCAAAGGGGTCCGCAACCCACAGGTTGAGAACCTGTGGGATTAGAGAGTAGAATTTCAGCCACTGGATAGCAGGAGGAATTAGAATAATCACTTCCTGACCACAGATTTTATTCACCTTTAATGAAACTTAAATTTGTAGGGTTTGAATTTTTTCTATGAACCTAAGGATGTAGTGTATAGTCTACAATTTGAGTGTATATTGTACTACAAATAATTAGAAAAGAGTGAATCATAGGTTGGGGAGGGAAAAGAAAAGAAACACAAATAGTAGAATGGTCATCTTTTTTTTTTTTTTAATTGAAGACATGAAAATATGAACAGAGGCTCAGGAGGGTAAATCCAGGTCAGAAGATTGTATTTCTTTATGTGCTGGTGACCCTAAAGTCAGTGTCCACCTAAGCTTTTACAGAGTTATCCATGGCCAAGGCTGTGTCTCTACACTAACTCCATTGGGACAGATTTAAAGCAAAATCCAGCAGGCTGACCGAAGATGACAGAAGTTTACTCCATCTAAAACATTCCATTTGTCCTTATCTCTGGCAGCTTTGGACATTGGGTAACAATGCTGAGTAAGACAACTCGAACAGATTAAATCTTTGATTCCAACTCTAGGAATCAACCACCATTCCTGCAGGGGTAGCACGCGATCTTATCATTGTTAGTTTACACCCTGTTGTGAGTACAGAAAAGAAGACTCATTGGTAGGGTGATCACGAGCATGAGAACTTAATTCTTAGAATGAGAAGTAGGCACGCATCTCCCCGCCCCTCTCTCCCCCCCACACCCCGCCCTCCGCCGCTCCAACACACACAAAGAAAAATATAAAAGTTGTCTCTTAGTATATATATTATCTGTGACAAAGCAAAATGATTTTATATTCTAATAAAGGTGGATTTATCTAGCAGATGTGAATAGAAAATGAAAAATTTCCCAATTATTATCATAAAGACCAAAAAGGTATCAATATTTCCCTACTTTAGTATGTTGTCTAAATCAATTAGTTTTAGAACATAAAAGACTGTCTTTGTAAAGATAGTAATGGCTTTTCAGTGTCAAAATGCCCTTTCCTATGGAAATTTTTAGGACTTTGGGTGCT